CAGGGACAGAGGGACCCGGGGCACCGGGAGGCTGGCAGCTCGGACAAAGGGACCCGGGATCCCAGGATCCAGGGACACCAGGACCTGGGACTTTGGGTCCCCAGGAGCTGGGAGTACTAGGACACAGGGCCCTGGAACACAGGGAGCCAGGGATGCAGGGACCCCAGAGTCCTAGGCATTCAGAGACCCCAGGGATGCAAGCACCCCGAGACTCAGGAAACCCCGGGAGGCCCAGAGAACCAGAGACCCCAGGGATGCCAGGGACCAAGGGGCTGGGGGGGCTGCACCGCACACAGGCATGACCTGAAGAGTCTGCGTCCCCCGTGTCAGGTGAAGGCGCTGGCAGCCTATGTGTCCAGCAATCAGCTGTGATGGTGGGTCAGGTGCAAAGGATGCTGTCCCTGGCTGTTCCTCACCTCCCCACCCCATCCCTTGGTTTTTAGGTAAGGTGCAGAGATCAGCAGACACCACTCCCCTCCCTTTCCCTGTGCCCGACTTGGGTAGTCCTGGTACAGAAAGCAGAGTTATGCCAATGTTTATTTATCATTTAAGTCCAGAGGCCACATCTGATTGCTCTAGGGGTTGCTCTAAGCTGATTTCATGCTCAGTCCTTGTATGGGATTGTCAGAAATGGTCCAGCTCTCACGCTGCTGAGGTTTCACAGATAGGCAGGAGTTTGCCTCATGCACATACAGAGATCCTGAAAATTCCTGGTCTCTGTGCGTTGCCCTTTACGTCCTGGAGGCATGTTCATTAACTGATCATCTCAGTAACTGCTGACAATCTGGAAGAAAAGAAGATGCTGGAAGGCAGGCAGGCTAGTGCCCTGGGCTGTGGGGTGGGGATACCAGCAGAGCTAATGCTGCACTGGCCCTGTGCTCTGTGTGCTCCTCTGAAGCAGCAGCTCCCACCTCCGGGAGCTGTGGAGCTCTGGGTTCATGGAGCTGTGGTGCCATCTGCCTTGCCCAGAGCAGCAGGGAAGGAAAGGCAGGAGGAAAAGCTCTTGATACACATGCAGCAGTCTGAGACAAAGCTGGCTTTCTCCATCCCTCCCCTCTGGGTCTCTGGAGTCCCTGGCTTTCCTGTGTCTTGGGGTGCTTGGATCCCTGGGGGTCTCTGAATCCCTGGGTCTGGGTTACAGCTTTAGACTTGAACTTTTTGGATTAACAACATGTCTGGAAGCTTCCCATCTCATAGCTGAAAACTTACCTGCCCAGCTCCTGCTCCATGGGAGGGAGACCCAGCAGTCTCCTGGGGTCAGTCATGGACCACAGAATCACAGAATCACAGAATCACAGAACGGTTGAGGTTGGAAGGGACCTCTGGAGGTCATCTAGTCCAACCTCCCGCTCAAGCAGAGTCACCCAGAGATGTTACACAGGATCGCGTCCAGGTGGGTTTTGAAGATCTCTGGGGAAGGAGACTCCACAACCTCTCTGGGTAACCTGTGCCAGTGCTCTGTTACCCTCACAGTGAAGAATTTTTTCCTCATGTTCAGATGGAACTTTCTGTGGTTCAGTTTGTGCCCGTTGCCTCTTGTCCTGTCGCTGGGCACCACGGAGAAGAGTCTGGCCCCATCCTCTTGACACCCTCCCTTCAGATACTTATACACATTGATGAGATCCCCCCTCACTCTTCTCTTCTCCAGACTGAACAGGCCCAGTTCCCTCAGCCTCTGCTCATAGGAGAGATGCGCCAGTCCCCTCATCATCTTTGTAGCCCTTCACTGGACTCGATCCAGTAGTGCCATGCCTCTCTTGTATTGGGGAGCCCAGAACTGGACACAGCACTCCAGATGTGGCCTCACAAGGGCTGAGGAGAGGGGCAGGATCACCTTCCTCCACCTGCTGGCAACCTTCTGCCTAATGCAGAGGTGAGGTTCATGAGGTTCCTCTCCACCCAACTCTCCAGCCTGTCCAGGTCCCTCTGAATGGCAGCACAGCCCTCTGGTGTGTCAGGCACTCCTCCCAGATTTGGATCATCAGCAAACTTGCTGAGGGTGCACTCTGTCCCTTCCTCCAGCACATTGATGCAATAGTTGAACAAGACTGGAGCCAGTATTGACCCCTGGCGGACACCTCTAGCTACAGGCCTCCAACTAGACTCTGCGCCACTGACCACAACCCTCTGAGCTCGGCCATCCAGCCAGTTCTCAATCCACCTCACCCTCCACTCATCCAGCCTGCACTTCCTGAGCTTGCCTGTGAGGATGTGATGGGAGACAGTGTCGAAAGCCTTGCTGTAGTCCAGGGAGACAACACCCCCTGCTCTCCCCTCATCTCCCCAGCCAGTTGTCCCATCAGAGAAGGCTCTCAGGTTGGTCAAGCATGATTTCCTCTTGGTGAATCCATGCTGAAAAATGGATGTCGCATGTATGGTGATTTTCCCTTTGTGCTTGTCTGTGTGCTGAAAGAGAGTTCATGACATGAACTGATTAGTGCCAGAAGTGGCCATGCGCCTGCCTGGCTCCAGCCTCTGCCAGACTGTGTACTGCACAGAGCAGGGGGGGAGAGAAAAGGAGCAGGGGAACGGGAGAGACCAGGGGCCTTAGGAGCAGTTTGTAAGTTGTTCCTTAGATGATTTTAGTAAAGCATCAGTTGGGCTCTCCATGGTCAGACCAAGGTTCTGGGACTGCAGGGGGATGGGGCTGTGCATGGCCGGGCTGGGGCATTGGGA